TGTTATTGATAACACAGCTGAACATTACCTTCTATAATCTATTCAACATACTCACTGCATGCTTAAACAAAAAATTAAAACAAAAGCCTCTGGTTGCACAGCAAACACGAAAAACAATCCTTGCTCACTAAAACTTTAGCAATCATATTCAGAAAGTAAATTTGAGCCAGGGACCAGTGATTCATGTCTGTAATCCTAGCTAGTCAGAAGGCAGAGATCGGAAGGATCACTGTTCAAAGCCAGCCTGGGCAAATAGTTCCTCGAGACCCTATCTTGAAAAACCCTTCACAAAAACAGGACTTGTGGACTGGCTCAAGGTGAAAGCCCTGAGTTCAAGCCCCAGTATCACAGAAAAAAAAAAAAAGAAAGTAAATTTGATGTCTTTATTCTGCTACAGAATGGAATGCATAGGACATTTTTGAAAAGGATCTAACATTACGAGAGAATAAAAGAGAAGAAAAGGTTAGAAATTGCACACAGACCCTCATCAACATCTCCTTCCTCTTGAGGTCAATATGAATATGGGAACAGACTTGAATTTTCAGACATGGCTTCCCTCTCAGCAAGCCATCCCTCCATCTCCATGTGAGGCTGCCATGGTGTAAAGAGCATCCAGAACCCACACATATATTCAGAGACTGAGGTGTCATAAAAACACACAGGCTCTAAATACATACTTTATACAAAGGAAGGACATGCTATGGCTTTAGTGTGTCCCTCAAAGGTTAATGTGCTGGAAGCTTGGCCCTCAGTATAGAGATATTGAGAGGTGGTGGAGCTTTTAGGAGGTGGGAACTGGTGAAAGGTAGTTAGGCCATTAGGGGCAACATGTTTACAAAGAATTAATGTAGTTCTCTCAGGATGCAAGTAAGTTCCTATGAGCATGACTTATTACAAAAGGAACAAGACCGATCCATGAATCCCTCTGGTCTCCTGCCTCATCCTGAACAGAATCTTGGACTTTCAGCTTCCAAAACTGTGAAACAAATAAACCTTTTATCTTTATAAAGTACCCAGCCTCAAGTATTTTTCTATAGCAACAGAAAAGAAGACAGACTAAGACAATGCATTATTAGCACCACGTTCTAGCCAACTGAACTAACGGCCCTTTAGACAATGCATTAAAGACAGAAAAGCTAAGCCACATAGTTAAGAAAAATTACTCTTGGGTATGTGTCTAAGGGAGTACAATTCAACTACACTATCCTTTGGAAGTAAATCATTGCTTTGATCTTAATTAAATATAAGTTATAAACAACCAATATGCACCTATGTATAGCTGTGTTTGATCTCTAATGAGTGTAATAACAAAATCACTCTTAGAAATGGTTCTAGGGAGACATAATTCAGTTGTAACACTCAAGAGCTACAACTGCAATCATCACTAACCAAAAGAACACCTGTGTGTCATAAATGTCACATATCTCAGTGGTAGAGTGCTTACCTAGCATGCTTGAGACCTTGGGCTTAATCCCCAGCATCACAAAAACAAAACAAAAGGAGGGAAGGAGGGAAAGGGGAGGGAGGGAGGGAAGGAAGAGAGAGGGAGAGAAGGGGAGGGGAGGAAGGAAGGAAGGAAGGAAGGAAGGAAGGAAGGAAGGAAGGAAGGAAGGAAGGAAGGAAGGAAGGAAGGAAGGAAAGAGGCATAGATCTGTCAACTGTGCCATGTAAGAAAAAGAATAAAAGGGCAAGACAGCAGAGGTCTGTTTATCATGCAACTCCGCAATACTATACATGCAAATCAAGACACAGGTTCTATTAATTAGAACTTAAAGTTCCAATTTTAAAAAATTCAAGAGTTGGACCATCAGCTCAGAAGAGCAATTTTTGCAAATATGTAGGAAGCTTACTGTTTTTGAATTCTGGCCAGTACTTAAGATGGATAGAATATTCCCTTTTATTTTTATTTTATTTTTCCTCCAGTACTACCCCTAGAATTCCCTTTTAAAGGTAAAACTATTTGGGAAATTGCCTCCAAATATTTTTAAGATTCTCTAAAGTACAGTGTGCAACCTGTTCTAATAATAATCACTGGTCAAGGTGCCAATGGCTCATGCCTATAATCCTAGCTACTTGGAAGCTGAGATCGGGAGGATCACAATTTGAGGACAGCCCCAGCAAATAGTTTGCCAGACCCTATCTCCAAAATAACCAGAGAGAAATGGACTGGAGGCCTTGCTCAAGCAGAAGAGCACATGCTTTACAAACACCTGCTTTGTGAATATCTGCTTGGCAAACATGAAGCCCCGAGTTCAAACCCTAGTCCCACCAAAAAACTTTTAAAAAGACACTGAGCTGTACCACTCAATTCTGACTGCTTGATGTCGATCTCTGCTCTGATTGACTTTCTTTGCTATAGTGATTGTTAAATATTTTGAAAATTACTCTAAAATTTATAATTCAAAACTTTCCTATGATCCAAATGAGACAAGAAGAATAATGAATTCCCTGCCCAGGAGTCACTGAGCAGCTGCCTTCTCTGCCAGTCAAGATGGCACTCAATACTGCAAAGCAGCATCTCAGGCATTCTAATCCCTAAAATAATAAGAAAAAAGGCTAGAGAAAGGTGTTCTGAACAAGTTCAAAATTTTACTAAATGTTGTAAGGACTGTCCTTTATGGTAGTAAAATGCCAGAAACAAAATTTTGCATTAAAAGAATGTCTAACTTCTTACTACATTGATCCAGCGTTTTATGAAGATTGCAAAGCCAGGCACAACAGCTCACACCTATAATCACAGCTACTCAAGAGGCAGAGAGGATCAGCCTAGGCAAAAAGTTAGTGAGAGCCCCCATTTCAACTAATAAGTTGGTCATGACTCCAGCTATGTGGCAGGCAATTGGTAGGAGGATCTCATCCAAGGGCTATCCAGAGAAAAACACAAGACTCCATCCTGAAAAATAACTAAAAAGCAAAAAAGGGCTGGAGGAGTGGCTCAAGTGATAGAATGACTGCCTAGCAAGCTCAAGGCCCTGAATTCAAATGCCAGTACTGACAAAGAAAAAAAAATGGAATATATGTAGGAAAGGGAAGGATTAAGAAGAAAACAGAATTCCTACCAAAAAAGACAACAGAAGATTCCCACAGACATATAGACAAATACTCAAACGACTCTGGAACGCTCATGTTTATTGAAGTCTTTTATATTATAAATTACTCAAAATAATTATACTATAAATCAGTCAAAAAAATTTATACTGTAAATTACTCAAGAATGCATTTGCCTTATTCTAATTATGCAAATACTGATTTTATATGAAATAAAGGTTTTGAGAGGGAAGGAGACAGAGACAAAAGCAGAAAGACACACAGAGAACACAACCTCCACTCTAACAAGCAGGTGAGCAAGTTACAGAGGACTTATGTAATCTACCCATGGCCAAAGGGTGGTGAATAATGGAGACGAGCCAGGATCCAGGAGTGTTCCCTCCCTCAAAACCCAGAGCACCGGGAGGGGGTGGGGGCGGGGGGAGAAATGACCCAAGTCTTGTATGCACGTATGAATAATAAATAAATAAATAAACAAACCCAGAGCACCAAGCAGTAGAGCATAGAAGGCAACAAGCAGAACTCAGTTCATGACAACTAGGTTCTAGCACCTGTCTTCTGTTTTTCTCGTCTTTATCTTGTCACCCTTACTTCCATGGGAACTGGCCGAGCCACATATATTTCAGATAACTGAAACATACACAGAAAAGATCTTCTCTTAAATATACAAACCTCTACTCTGAAGTTATTCCTTTTCCTGGCAGACTGGGATTCAGCATGTACTGGATTGTAATTGTAGAATGAGGCAAAGGATTGAAGTTCAAAAAAGGTTTGAAATAAGACGTATAGAAATTATCATTAAAAAAAACACCACTTTTTTGACAAATATAAAATTTCCAAAGTTACATTTAAAGGCCAGCAAGGAACAGAAGCAAATATAGCAAATATAAGTGAATCAGAACATTCATTTCACATGTTTAAGTAATAGGAACAAAAGGTAAACTGTAATTACTTAAACATGGAAGAAAAATAGAAATATTGGATAGTACTGGCATGTTCTATTGGTAAAGCTAGAATTTTTAAAAGCATTTGCCTGCAGGGGGAATGGCTCAAGTGGCAGTGCGCCTGTCTAGGTAGCATGAGACCTTGAGCTCAAGCCCCAGTAGAACCAAAAAAAAACAATTAAAAGAATTTGCCTTTAAAAACTAAAATTTATAACTAAAGCTCTTCTTCTTTATTGTCATTTTCTAATATAATATTGAAGCACTGATGCTATTGTCTTTAAGCTCAGAAAAGTGAAATTAGATATACAATTTAAGAGAACTTGTATATCAATACAAGAACTTGTATATCAATAATCATGTGTCATAATATAAAATGATACAAAGTCTTCAGTATTTAACTCATTCATAATCCTACTTCATCTTTCCTACAATCTTCAAAGAAAGGACTTTGTTCACTTGTAAATTCAGGAGACAGAAAATTTTAAAGTGATGCCCAAAAAATTATAAATTCCAAGATTTAGAAACACTAAAATTTCTCTTTTATAAAATGAGAATAATTACCATATTTTTCTCATAGTATTGTCCTTTTGTTAGTGTTTCTTGTTTTGGTTTTGTTTTTTCTGAAACAGAGACTCCCTATGTAGCCCCCAGGTTGGCCTCAAACTCCAGATCCTCCTATATCAGCCTCCCAAGTGTTGGGATTACAGGCATGTGCCACTATGCCCAACTATATATTTTCTTAATTTTTGAAGAAAAAAACCGGATAAAATTCCAGACTGAATTGTCAAATGGGATACATGCTTTTCACACAGTTGTAAGTTTAGACTATTCCTTACCCTCCACTGTAAAATATTCTTTTTGAATTTGGATATTAATGATTTCTTATGTAACTGAGTATAGAAAGATAAATGTGTGCTACTTAACCAATATCACACATTATTTAAACCAAATTAAGTATTTAAATAGAAAATTAATTTTTCAAACATAAAATATACCTACTACTCTTACCTGCCATGGATCCAGCCATTAATCTGTGCACATGACCAGAAACTCCCAATTTTGTAGTAATGAACTAGAAACCAAAAACATTTAATTCAAAATAAGACACATTTTATTTATTTATTTATTTATTTATTTATTTTGCAGGGCTGGATATCAAACTCAGAACATTATGTATACTGGGCATATGCTCTACCATTCAGTTACGTGTCCAGCCACTGTTTTAAATGCTGCCCACTGAACCAGGCACCAACGGTTCATGCCTATAATCCTAGGTACTTGGGTGACTGAGATTGGGAGGATCACATTTTGAGGCAGCCCAGGCAAAAAGTTAGTGAGACCCCCATTTCAACCAATAGTTGGACACAGCAGCATGTGCCTATCATCCCAGCAACAGTGGAAAGCCTACAATAGAAAAATCCCATTACAGGCCAGCCTGAGCAAAAAGTGAGACCCTGTCTCTAAAATAACCAGAGCAGAAATGACCCAAACATTGTATGCACATATGAATAAAATAAAATAAAATAAAATAAATAACCAGAGCAAAAAGTGGTGGCAGGGTGAATCAAGGTAGGGCACCTGCCTAGTAGTATGAAGCCTTGAGTTCAAATTCCAGTGCCACCAAAAAAAAATGCTGCCCATTTCATTGTCTAATAATATTTATTTTTTTTAAATTGTGGGAATAGTAAAACACAGTAATAAATAGGAATGAAATGAGCATAATTATACAAAGCTGGGTAGTATATCACAATACAAAGAGATATCTTCTATAGCCTGTGCTCTAATTTCTTTCACTTTTACAGGAGCAATCAAGCTTAGAATTATGGAGTTTAGAATTACAACATTAACCATAAACCCTTAAAATCAGAGTAGTAGAAGTAAAAAGCATCTATAGACAATGAAGTGTTCGTATACCAACAGCATGAATAATGACTAACCAGCTAGAACATTTTTCTCACTTTAACTGCTTCCTTTTCAATGTAAGATAATCCTTTGGTTCAGGTAATGTTTGAAGGAATAACCTTTCAGCCAGAGACGGGAAACTTGATGAGAATGTCAAGACAATCTGGTGGGCTGGCAGAGTGGCTCAAGCAGTAAGAGTGCCTGCCTAACAAGGGTGAGGCCCTGAGTTCAAACCACACTGCAGCCAAAAAAAAAAAAATAAGCTGTTAACATTTCAAAATAGACTTTCACAATTTGGTTTCACAGTCTTATTTAATAAGAAAATCCAGTACTGGGATTATGTGGCTCAATGGTATAGCCTTGCCTATCACACTCAAGGTCATGGGTGCAACCTCCAACATAGCAAAAAGCAACAACCAATATATAATATGTGTGTGTGTGTGTGTGTGTGTGTGTGTGTGTGTGTGTGTGTGTTATGTATATATGATGTGATATATATGGCAAAGAAAATTTCAAAGACACAGTGTTCCTCTCATGCAACTGAAGAATATACTACAGGGCCAGCAGTGTGGCTCCAGTGGTAGAGCATCTGCCACACAAGTGAAAAGCAAGGTGCTAATGGCTCATGCCTATAATCCTAGCAACTTGGGAGACTGACAACAGGAGGATCAAGGTTCCAGGCAAACCTGGGCAAATAGTCCACAAGAACCCATCTCCAAAATAACCAGACCAAAATGTATTGGAGGTGTGGCTCAAGCAGTAGAGAGCCTGCTTTGCAAGCATAAAGCCCTGGGTTCAACCCCTGTCCTATCAAAAAATAAATAAGTAAATAAAACTATTAAATGGATTTATTGCTATCTTTTTGAAAGACAATTTCTTCGTAAGCGTGAACATACAGAACACATTCACAAATAGTTAAACAATTATGGAATCAGTAACTCCAAAAACAAGTTATATTTAAAAATTTAAACTCTCTCAAATCTTATTTCTTGGTCAGGCACCAGGGGCTCACGTCTGTAATCCTAGCTACTCAGGAGGCAGAGATCAGGAAGATGGCGGTTCAAAGACAGCCCAGGCAAACAGTTTGAGAGACCCTAGCTCAAAAAAACCCTTCACTAAAAGGGCTGGTGGAGTGGCTCAAGGTGCAGATCCTGAATTCAAGCCCCAGTATCACAAAAAAAAAAATCTTATTCCTTAAAAAAGACATGCTGGGCGCTGGTGTCTCACACTTGTAATACTAGCTACTCAGGAAGATCATGGCTCGAAGCCAGTAAATAGTTCTTGAGACCCTATCTCAAAACAACTCATCACAAAAAAGACCTGGCGGAGCTGGTCTGATCCAGGCTCCCAGGGGGCTGTGCGGCGTGCGCTCTTCGGCGCTGTCATGGCGGGTCTCCTGAAGAAGACCACCGGCCTCACGGGATTGGCTGTGAGTGACTCTCCGCATGATAGACTAAGAATATTGTATGCAAAGATTCTCGATGTTCTTAATCAGTTCCCTAAAAATGTAGCATGTAGAAAATATACTGAACAGATTACAAATGAGAAGCTGGGTATGGTTGAAGTGGAACCAGATGGTAAAAAATTGGAAGACCAACTTCAGGGTGGCCAAATAGAAGAGGTGATTCGTCAGGCTGAAAATGAACTAAGCTTGGCGAAAAAAATGTTGCAGTGGAAACCATGGGAGCCATTAGTGGAAGAGCCTCCTGCTAACCAGTGGAAATGGCCAATATAATTATCTTTAAATGTCTCTGATAGGTTGATGGCAAACTGATGTAATTAAATGTACTGTTATATTAAAAGTGTGTTTATATTATTGACATGTTGTAATCAAGAAAATTAATACAGGACAAACCTAGGAGACTTTAAAATTTGTTACTATTTTCATAGGGTTTGTGGTTCAGTTTTTGATTTGCATAGTATCTACTCAGATTAGTTCAAAGACAGTATTTCTTTGAACAGAAAGGTTGTGGGAAGACTTGAAAATTAATTAGAAAAGTTCTTAGAAGTATTCAGTGCAGAGGCCACAGTTGAAAGGTGAAGTATCTTTAGTAGTGTCTTCAGCACATTACTTAATTTCTTTTATTCTGGAAAAAAGAGAAGGAACTTTGTTATGTGTGAATAAATGTATTGATAACTGAAGTTAGCTCATGAGAGTGAAGGTGTTCCATTTTGAGAATAGTGTCAAAATAGTTTGATAAAATTTTAAATTGTTAATTTGGAATGATATATATATAAAAATAAAATATATAAAAGTAAAAAAAAAAAAAAAAAAAAAAGACCTGGCAAGTGGCTCAAGAGGTAGAGTACCTGCCTAGCAAGTACAATGCCCTGAGTTCAAGCACCAACACCACACACAAAAAAAATAATAAAATATAGAATTAAATTAAAAAGGCATTACTTTATTCATCATCCAATATAATTTTAAAGTTGAAAGTATAGTATGCACAAGGTCTTGGGTTCAATTCCCAGCACTAAAAAAAAAAGAAAAAAAGAATTTCAAGCCTGGGCATGGTGGTACATGTCTATAAAACCAACACTTGGGAGGGAGAGGCAGAAGGATTTCAAGTTCAAGGTCAGCCTGGGATATATATGGAGATCCTGTCTCAAATGAAAAAAAAAAAATTCAAAGCAAATATCAGGTAGGAACCAAGGACACTGAAGAGAAAAGAAGAAAACCGAACTACCGTTTTATAATGCTCGAATGCCATAAACTGGATTGCACCGTAGGGGAAGATTCGAATCATCATTGCACCATTTCCTTTATACAATCCAAGGTAACCTTCCTTTTGGGGAACAGCACGAAGTGTAGAAAATACTCCTATTTTTAGAAAGATTTTAGAAAATACTATTAAAACAGGGAAAATCATCTAAATTAAAAATTTGACAACAATCACTGATAGAGATTACTACACCATTATTCATAACATAATTTTGCTTGAGAAAATACACAAATAGCAATTTCTATGTAACAGATAAACCTACTTAAAATATATCACATACTCAAATTATAAAAATAAGCCTCACTCATATAAACTATAAAACTCACTGTAGCAAGAACAGCTACAAATTATAGTAAGTTATTCTCATAACTATAGCAAAACCACAAAAAATCAAAAGAAGATTAACAACAGAAATATGTGACCAGGCTCCAATGGTGCACACCTGTGATCCTAACTACTCAGGAGGCAGAGATCAGGAGGATCATGGTTCACAGGCAGCCCAGGCAAATAGTTCAGGAGACCCTGTCTTGAAAATACCCAACACAAAAAAGGTTGGTGGAGTGGCTCAAGTGGTAGAACACTCACCTAGCAAGCATGAGGCCCTGAGTTCAAAACCCAGTACCACCAAAATGTGTGTGAGTGTGTATGTGTAAGATAGTAATATCGCACTGAAGATGACTGATCAACTCTACCTGAAAGGATGAACGAAAGCTTCTCAGACTGACCCAGATATGTATTATTTTTTACATAAAAAAACTACTAAATAAAACAAGCAAATCAAAAGACTAGGTATGGGGGCTGGTGTGTAGCTCAGTGGTGTGAGGCACTGAGTTTGACAACCAGCACCAAAAAAAAATAAAGTCTATCAGTTAAAATTATTTAAGGGATGGGGGTGTAGCTCAAGTGGCCCTGGGTTCAATCTCAATACCACAAAAATAAAATTTGTTTCAATGGGGGGGCAGATTTCATTATTAGGATATTTCACTTAGATTCAAATATTGATGAAAAAGGCTATGGTATGGTCCATATATTGATTTGTTCATTACTCTGTTAACATCAATTACTAATCCAATTAGTCCCTCTTTAAATATCTGCTTATGCGCTGGAGGCATGGCTCAAGTGGAGAGTACCTGCCTAGCAAGTGTGAGGCCCTGAATTCAAGTCCCAGTACCACAAAAAAAAATTGAAATAAATACCTGTTCATCCAAAGGGAGTATGTCCAAGTCCCTCAGTGGATGTCTGAAACCTCAGACAGAATTAAACCCCATGTACACCATGCATTTTCCTTTATTACATACTTATGATAAAGCGTCATTTATAAATTAGACACAATAAGATATTAACAACAAATAATAATCAAATAGAATAATGAGAACTTACCATAATAAAAGTTATGTGAATGTGTTCTTTCAAAATAATGTACTGTAGTCTCCCTTATTGTGATGATATTGAAAGGAAGTACTTTATGGCCTCCCTTTGGCATATATGAATCACCAGTGTCACTACTCTTGCACTGTGGGGCCATTATTTAGTAAAATAAGGGTTATTTGAACACATGTTCTGTGATATCTCAACAGTTGATCTGAAGACAACAAAGATGTCAACTAAATTGCTAATGAGAAGACAGCATACATAACAAGAATATACTAGGGTGATTCACCTCCTGGGCAGCATAGAACCAGAGGGTTTAAGACTTCCCGATGCTACTCATGATGAGTACAATTTAAAACTTATGACGTGTTTATTTCTGGATCTTTCCACTTAATATTTTTGGACCATGGTTGACTGCAAGTAACTGAAATCATAAAAAGTGAAACCACAAATAAAGGGGGAACTACTGCATACAAATTTCACATAAACACATCACTACTTCCATTACTTAGTAATTTAAATTTTCAAAGTAAAAATTTGACCAAATATGAAAAACAGATCCTTTTGTGGGTCATACATATAATGATTAGGGTTTCACACTATGGTACCTAATGTGCCTTCCTAAGCCTTGTGTGTACAATGTCAGCACATTACCCCTCTAATATGAAATATACATGAGAGTCAAGCCAGACACAATGGTGCACACCTATAATCCCAGTATTGGAGACTGAGGCACAAGAATCTCAAATTGAATTTCAGGCCCACCTGGATTACATAGCAAGACCATGTCTCAAAAGGAAATCCAGAAAATAAAATTAGTGGAGAGAAAATATGAATGACTCAAATTCTTGTATTACAAAACAAAAATTGCCAAGCACCAGTGGCTCACACCTATAATGGTAACTACTCAGCAGGCAGAGATCAGGAGAATTGCAGTTCGAAGCCAGCCAGGACAAATAGTTCTTGAGACCCTATTTCAAAAATAATCAATATATAAAAGGGCTGGTGGAGTGGCTCAAGGTGTAGTCCCTGAGCTCAAGCCCCAGTATCACAAAAATTTTTAACTAATTAATTACACTTAAGAGGAATAAGATCTCTTAAGTTTAAGTGTAAGTGGTGGCTTACATCTATAATCCCAGTACTAGGGTGGATGGAAAATTCAGGACCAGCCTTGGCTACAGGGAGAGACTTTGTCTCGAAAAGCAAAATAAAGCACTCAGGAGGGAAAGACAAGAGGATCAGCAGTTCAAGGCCAGCCTGGGCTACATAGTGAGACCCTGTCTCAAAAATTAAATTTCAAAAGGCATAATTTTAAGAAGTATCTTATTAGGTACCTAGAATAAAATTCCAAAAGGTATTTTTCAAAATGAAATTAAAAGCCATCAATACTTTGATTTTTTGCTTCAAGCTCTGCATGCATAATAGGGTGCACAGTAACCTATGGCATGCAGCCCCAGAGAGCGTGAAATCCAACATGAATATCTAATCTAGTGATTACAAATCAGCAAACAAAACAACATACATCAACATGGAGAGGAGGTTAAAGGAACAAAACAACCCTGTTCAGACATTCTTATGCTAGGTCTTTGTGAAATATTCATCTCCTCTTCACCCTCAATTTAGACAAGCAAAGAAAATCAATTCTTTTCTGTTCAGTTTTATACAATCTCTCACTAACTTCAAAGGTCTGATTCTTTCTATTCATGAACAGTATGCTGTGTGAGAATATAGAATTCACTGCTGCACAGTTGCAAGTTTTTTATTTTGATATTATATACAGATTGTTGTGTTAAAAATGTCAACAAGAAAATAAGTTAAGTTGCCCAGCTCCGGTGGCTCACACCTGGAATCCTCGATACTCAGGAGGCAGAGATCAGGAGGACTGAGGTTCGAAGCCAGACGGGGGAAAGTAGTTCTCAAGACCGGATCTCGAAAAAACCCTTCACAAAAAAGGGCTGGTGCAGTGGCTCAAGGTGTAGGCCTTGAGTTCAAATCCCAGTACCACAAAAAAAAAGTTAATCTATAACATAAATATACATTCTTGTTTTTCAGAAAAATCACATTTTAAAAATCCAATTACAAAAATAATTGATTCTTATTCACCCTGTTCAACATTTCTCTACATACTGATGCTGCATAGATCACTCACAACTCACATGGTTCTGATAGGAAACTGTAAGACAATTTAATGGTATGAGTTAGTAGGCCCGACTTAATTTCTCTCTTGGTCTCTGTCTCATATTGCTTCTTTTTTCTAAATCTTTGGCCCTCTTGAGCTGGGGTATAGTTCAGGATAGACTGCAGGTTTAGCATGCAAAAGGCAATGGGTTTAATCTCCAGCATGGCAAATGAACAAAAAATAAATCTTTCCCCTCCTTACTGAAAAGGTGATACATGTTTGAATCATAACAAATAAGCTAGGAGGAAACATTTTTCCGATAATTCCACCACTCCAAATTAACTTTTTGCTTTTTCTTTTTTGGCAGTACTGGAATTTGAACTCAGGGCCTTGCTGGGCAAGGCACTCTACCACTTGAGCCACTCCATCTGCCCCAAATTAACTTTTTAATGTTAATGAATGTACTTCTAGTTTTTTGTCTAAACAAATTCTTACCAATATAAAATGTAATATAATTAAACACTTTACAATATTATTTTTTAATTTCATTAAGGCATTATGAACATTATTCCCAGTTAATTAATATTCTTTTATAAACTTTTGTGTTTTTTTGAGACAGGGTCTCACTATGTAGCCCAGGCTGGCCTTGAACTCACAATCCCCCTGCCCACTTCTTGAGTGCTGGGTATAAATTTTTTATGATTGCAAAACAGTCTATTGTGGCAGGGGGGATAAGGAAGGATAGAGGGGATGAATCTAATTAAGATATATTTTAAGCATAATGTAAATTTCACAATGTATGCCCCCTGTACAACTATTATGTGCTAATTAAAACAGTCTATAACATGAATAAACTGTACCAACCTATTCTCTATTATTAAACACTTTAGGTTGTTTAGGGTTTTTTTTTTGTGGTACTGGGTTTAAACTCAAGGCTTAGGGCCTACACCTTGAGCTACTTCACCAGCCCTTTTTTGTAGTGGGTTTTTCAAGCTAGGGTCCCAGGAACTATTTCCTGGGCTGGCTTCTAACCTCCATCCTCCTGATCTGTGCCTCCTGAGTGGCTAAGATTACAGGCATAAGTCACCAGTGCCCAGCAAGTGGGGAGATTTATGACACAGAATCTCACTATGTTGCACCACCACACCCACCATAGAATTGTTCTTTTTACCCACAAAAATAATGCTTTTTAGCTGGGCACCTGGGCATTTGCCTGGCTCATTCCTGTAATCCTAGCTACTCAGGAGGCAAAAATCAGAAGGACTGCAGTTTGAAGCTAAACCAGGCAAACAGTTTGAGAGACCCTATCTCGAAAATACCCATCACAAAAAGGGCTGGTGTGGCTCAAGGTGTAGGCCCTGAGTTCAAGCCCCAGTATCACAAAATTAAGAATAATGGTAATAGTAATAATAACTTTTTTTTTTTTGCGGTACTGGGGTTTGAACTCAAGCTTGCTAGGCAAGCGCTCTACCACTGGACCCACTCTGTCAGCCCTTTTTCACATTGAGTATTTTTGAGATAGGGTCTCAAAAACTATTTGCCTGGCTTGGTCTAGAACTGTGATCCTCCTGATCGCTGCCCCCAAGTAAGTAGGATTACAGGCCTGAGCCACCACCATCCACCTAAGGTCTTCTTTAACAAAGCAATTTTATCCATAATACTAATTACTTTGTATTCTGCTTAGACTAAGATTTCTATAAGGCTTGTTTAAGTATTTAAAGAAGTTAATTATTTCAGCTTTACATTTATCAAACCCTATCTCTATCACTAATTGAATTAAAAATCAGGCTGACTTATTATGTATGTCTGCAAATTACATAATTTGTCAATCCCAGTTCTTGGGAGGCTGAGGCAGGAGGATAAAAAGTTGGAGACCATCCGAGGCTACATAGCCAGACCTTGTCTAAATGTGTATACATATATGGGGCACAGCTCATACAGTAGGGAGTCTGTCTAATAAGCACAAGGCCCTGAGTTCAAACCCCAGCACCAAGTAATATTTCCATGATTCTAAGCTTTTAGATTGGAAAATATTAGTATCCTAAAATGATAATATATATAACTACTATTGCAAGTGAACAGATTAAAATGATTAAATGATTAAGAAATAATCCCACTGGCACCAGTGGCTCATACCTGTAATCCTAGCAGAGATTGGAAAGATGGCAGTTCTAGACTTGCCTGGGGCGGGGGGGTGGGGGGGGGGGGGGTGGAGTTTGTGAGACCCAATCTCAACCAATAGTGGGCATGGTGACACTCACCTCTCATCCCAGCTACTAGAGTGGGGAGGAGTGGTTATAAGAGGAGCAAAAAGTCAAAAGGTGGGGGAGGTAGCCTGAATAATGTATATGCATGTAAGTAATTATAAAAACAATAAAAAAAATTTTTTTTAAAGTGAAAAAGGGTTGGGGGCATGGTTCAAGTGGTAGAGCAGGAAGCCCTGAGTTCAAACCCCAATACAGCAAAATTAATTAATTAATCCCTTGCAAAATGTAGCCCCAAATTTGAATTGCCTTTTGTGTTCTCTTTTCACTATAATTCATAACTGGAAGTCAAGGAATCACATGAGTACCTTTTTTTATTCAAGTTTATCTTTAACATCATCAACTCACCTAAATGTTTGTAATGGTGATTGTGAGCTTGCAATAAAACTTTTACTCGATCCAAAGGAGCAACTGTTGTTTTGGCACAGCATCCAGCGATACCTAAAAATTTTTATAAAACCAGAAAGAAATTACATACTATATCTTTCTACAAGGAAATCAATTCTCTGGTCGGCAGACCCAAGAATCTTTAGTTTGGTCTTCATGAGTAGAACTGCACATTATCAGGGATAGGCAGAGGATTGATCCCATGTCCTGCAGCTTAATAATTGAGCATGTCAGACCTAAAAGTTAAACTCTAAGAGTGAAAAGCAGTCCCTAATGCCTGATAACATACACTAACAATTTGCTAAAAAGTTGTTAAACACAACTGAATATTTACCCAAGTATAAAGTTGTGTTTGAAATACCCACCTTTTTTTTCTGGATCACATTTCCACTGAAGCAACAGTTACCCACAAAAATTAGTCATTCATTTATACACTTGGCAAATATGTATTTGGTCCCTGCCAGGTACCACTGGCCAAAGCAAAGTAATGGATAAAAGCAAAGTAAAGAGTTTACATGGGTTCTCAGGGTGACTGGGATGCTACTGACCTACAAGTGTGAAATGCTGCCAGGCACTGTGGCTCACGCCTGTAATCCTAACTACTCAGGAGACAAAGATCAGGAGAATTGTTGTTTGAAGTCAGCTGGGGCAGATAGTCCCACAAGACCCTATCCTGAAAAAACCCATCACAAAAAAGGGCTGGTGGAGTGGCTCAAGGTGTAAACCCTGAGTTCAAGACCCAGTACTGAAAAAAAAAAGTGTGAAATGCTTCTAAAATGATCATGAGAAGACTTTCTACATTTCCTTACATGAAGTAAGTACCCGGTGAGTTACTATTATAAAAAGTGAATAAAAGCCTAGAGGCAAATGACCCAAACATTGTATGCACATATGAATAAAATAAAATAAAATAAAATAAATAAATAAATAAGGAAAAAAAAAAAGTCTAGAGGCATGGCTGAAGCAGTACATCACCTGCCTAGCAAGCCCAAGGCCTTGAATTCAAACCCTAGTACCACCAAAAAGAAACAAACAAACAAAAAACCAATGATCTCACAACATTACTTAATAACTCTGTACTCAAGTATTACCTGAATATATTAGTTCCCTTATCATTCATATTATTTTCTTATCTGAACTAATGGAAGTAAAAGTCACAGCTATGTAAAACTGAAGTAATCTAAACATAATTTGCAGGCGGGGTAGGTAAGGGAGGGGGCGGGGGGAAGGGGAGAGAAATGAGAGGCCAGGGAGAGCATATAGTTAGATTAGAGGCCAGGGAGAGCATATAGTTCATGAGATTGCCATCTCCAAAAATAACCAGACCAAAAATGGACTAAAGGTGTGGTTCAAGCAGTAGAGAGCCTGCTTTGCAAGTGTGAAGACCTGAGTTCAAACCCCAGATCTCCCTCCCAAAAAAAGGGGTCTAGTCATGATGGAACACACCTATAATCCCATCTACTGGGGGTTTGGAGGAGCACAAAGATCAGGAGGATCAAGGTCAGAGGCCAGCCTAGGCAAAATTAGCTAGACCCCATTGCAACAAACAAGCCAAGTCTGTGATTGCAGCTACACAGGAGGTAGGAGTATAGAAAAGCAGGAGACCATATCCAAAAATATAACTTATCTTAAAAAGAGTGCCTGCCTATCAAGCTTGAGGCCCTGAGATCAAAACCACAGTACCACCAGGCTCCAATGGCTCACACCTCTTATCCTAGCTACTCAGGAGATAGTGATCAGGAGGATCTTGGTTCAAAGCCAGCCCAGGCAAATACTTCTGGAGACCCTATCTTGAAAAAAAAAAAAAAATCACAAGAAAGGACTGGTGAAGTAGCTCAAGGTATAGGCCCTGAGTTCAAACCCCAGTACCACCCAAAAAAAAACCCACAATACCACCAAAAGAAGGGAGGGCGGGAGAGAGGGAAGAAGAGAAAGAGGAAAAGAGGAAGGAAGGAAAATACAAAAGACATAAGGTCAATAAACTTGAGGAGGCTCAGGATGTAGCTCAGTGGTAGAGGGTTTGTCTAGTACGCATAGGGCCCTGGGTTGGATTCCCATTACCACACACAAAAAAAAATTTGTACGGGGATCAGCAGTAGGGGGTTAAGGGAGGGTAATAGAGAAGGTGGATATGATCAAAGTTAAGTCATATATGAACAAATATATCATAATGAAACCCATTTTTTGTGCAATTAATATATGCTAATCAAAAGAGAGAAAAAACCTCATAGAGGTGCATGCCTGTAATCCCAGCACTTGGGAAACTGAAGCAGGAGGATCATGAGCTCAAGGCCAGGCTTGCTTCATAGCAAGAGTCTGTCTCCAAAAACCAAAAAACTAAAAGTAATTTTTTTTGATGGTACTGAGGACTGAACTCAGGCCCTCAGGCAGGTGCTCTACCACTTGAGCCACAATCACAGCAGAAAATGAAATTTTTTTTAATTTAAAAATAGAAAAGCTGGGCTGGAGGTGTGGCTCAAATGGTAGAGTGCTTGCTTAGCAAGCACAAGACCCTGAGTTCAAACCCCAGTACTGCCAAAAAAAAAAAGAATCAATAAAAATGGAAAAGAAGCAGGTGCCAGTGACTCACGCCTGTAATCCTAGCTACTCAGGAGGATTGAGATTTGAAGCCAGTCCAGACTAAAAAACCCATCACAAAAAGGGCTTGCACCAGGGCACTGGTGACTCATGCCTGTAATCCTAGCTGCTCAGGAGGCAGAGATCAGGAGGACTGCAGTTCGAAGCCAGCCAGGGCAAACAGTTCGCAAGACCCTATCTCGAAAAAGCACATCACAAATAAAGAGCTGGTGGAATGGCTCAAAGTGTAGCCCTGAATTCGAGCCCCAGAACAGAAAAAAAAAAAAAAAAGGAAAAGAAAGGTGAATACAGTGGTACATTCCTGTAATCCCAGCTACTTGGGAGGCTAAGATGGGAGGATCAAGGTTCAAGGATGGCCTGGGCAAATAGTTCCAGAGACCCCCTTCTATAAAATATTCACAAGGAAATGAATTGGAGGTGGCTCCAGTGAGAGCTCCTGCTTTGAGAGTGTGAACCCCGAGTTCAAACTCCAGTCCCATGTCAGGTGTGCACCCGGTACCTATGGCTCACATCGATAATCCTAGCTACTCTGAAGGCAGAGATCAGGAGGATCTCGGTTCAATGCCAGTCCAGACTTAGCACAACATCCTATTAATACTGCATACATGCTATCTCTCCACTTCCTTGCCTTACTCTCCCTTTTTACTTCTTCCCACTACACTGATCACTTTCTAACATACTATGTAATTTATTTTTTCATTTTGTTTATTGTTTTCCTCCGAAGTTCCTCAACCAATGGTAAAGGACATAGACCTTGCTTTTGTTTTCTAGTGTACACCACGCACAAAGCAGGCACATAGCTGGAACTCAAATATTCCCCAGTATGAATAAATGGATTTCCTTTTATCAGAACAAAATAATTAAATTCCTAATACTGCTGCACTCTCAGATACTATCTTTCTACAAGTTCTCATAATGTGAATATTTTTAAATTCCTGGTCTTAAATAATTAAGTGATGACAACCCAGACAAGCAATTATGGGAGGGTGGAGATCGAAACATCTGTTTATGGGAACGGAGGAGGAAATGTCAAGATCAAACCTCACAGTCTTACCAATAATCGGGCTTCTCAAGTACTTGTAGCACAGTTTACTAGAATCACTGGAACCAGTTTTGGCGAGAAACTGTTTAACACAATTTCCTAATCATATTTTAAAAGCTGACCTCCAATATTTGTTTTCCTTTACGCAAATAGCAAAATTCAATTCTATACTCAAGTCACCTTGGGTCTTTAGAAAAGGGTGCCGAGCCAAGGCATCCCCCTTGCCTGGTTCAGTCCTTCCCCGTCCCCAGACTCTCCCCGAGGGCCCAAGGCCCCACTCCAGAGAGGCTGGCTAGCTCTGGTGGTTATTAGAACGAGGTTACGCCCGGCAGGGCGGGAAGCAGGAGGAGTCTGAGATTGTCACCGCGACCGCCGGCACGCGCCGTGCCCGCGAAGCCGCCCCGCCGCCCCGAGTTCCTCGGGGTATTATCGGGGACACTCACCTCCGGCCAGGAAGGAGCGCAGCCAGTAGAAGTCTCGACGGGCGGTGGGCCCTCCCGCCCCTGCCGCCTGCGGCACTGTGGGCTGGGGATCGGCCGCTGCCAGGGCCGCCGCCGCAGCCATCAGGACCAGGCCACGTCGGGAGCGTAAGATGCCAACTTGCAAACCTCAGGCTAGGACCATGGCTGGTGAGGGCAGTGACAGCCGGCCGACCGCCGCGCGGGCGGGGCGGAAAAACCAGGGCTGAGTGGCGCAGGCTGATGGCGTAGTCGGGGGCGGGGCTTCGGCGTGGTCTAGACGAAAGGGGGCGTCACCCAGGTTCGACTCCACCCAGTCCACTTCGGATCTCCGCTACCTGCTTTCCATTCCAGGGCCCTCTGTTATGGCGGAAGAAGCAAGGAATGGCAAGTGAGCGTGTCGCATCACGACCCACGACCTCAGAAAGCTCTGCCCGCTCTTGCCCGTATTGACTGTTGACTGGAAACCGCTATGGGGCTATCTTCCGATCTCTCTCGGATACACTTTTTACCAGACATCTCTGACCTTGTCCCCATCTCTCACCAAATCCGTTCTGCCTTCTTTAAGTTTTGTTTTGTTTTGTTGTGTTTGCGGTACTGGGGCTTGATATCAGGACCTTCACTTGAGCCACTCCACCAGCCCTACTTTTTCCAGAAGGGTTTTTCCAGATAGGGTCTCTGGAACTGTTTGCCTGGGCTGACTTCGAACCGCGATCCTCCTAATCTCTGGCTCGTCAGTATCTAGGATTACAAGCTTGAGCCTCGGCGCTCGGCTTCTGAGTTATTCTTTGAACCTCAATTTCCGTCCTTCCTCACCGCGCACTAAGCTTCCACTTCACCTACACCACCTCTGCCAAAAAAAAAAAAAAAATTTGCTAATGCCGGCTTTTCTCTTTTTAGGGCCCCAGGCATTAACAGACATAGTTCTGCCTTATCGGGCCTTCTCAAATTCCACTGACACTACCTCCCCCCATAAAAGTTTCTTTCCTTTCTTCCTTTTTTTTGGACATAACTTTTGTTAGGTAGCCCAGTCTGGCCTTGAATTCATGATCCTCCTGCCTCAGCGTCTGGGTGATAAGATTGCTGGTGTGCACAACTATGTGAGGCTCTTAATCTGTAAATACAAACTGATAACGATTTATCAGGTCAATCATACCCACAATTAAATTCCTGATCTTCTTTCCCAAACACACTACTCCTGCAGTCCCCCCTCTTTTCAGTAAATGACAACTCTATTCTGGGTCCACAAACCTCAAGTCATTTCCTAAATAGTCTCCCTGTTTTCTCTTGCCCTCTGCTGTCTGTTTTTAACATAGCAGCAAAAGCAATTCTTTAAAAATTAAAACAAACCTTGAGAGCCTTCATCCCAAAACCCTTTCCATACAGAAAGCTCAAATCTGTACAGTGATCCAGTGAATTCCTACTGATCTCTGACCTCAAAACTAGGACTCCCGGACTTTTCTTCCATAATTAACCGCATAGGGAACAGGAAATGCTTCTCCCTTTTCTCCCATTTCTCCCCACTTTTATCCTGTTACACTGAATTCCTTTCCTGCTAAGTTTACTATCAGTTTCACTATTTTTTTGTTGTTGTTGTGGTACTGGGTTTGAACTCAGGGCCCACACCTTGAACCATCCCGCCAGCCTTTTTTTGTGATGAGTATTTTCAAGATGTAGTCTTGCAAACTATTTGCCAGGGCTGCCCTTGAACCATAATCCTCCTGATCTCTGTTTCCTGAGTAGCTAGGATTACAGGCATAAACCACCAGTGCCCAGCTTCAGTTTCACTATTAAAAAAAAAAATACTGGCCTCTTTTTGGTCCTTATAAACACCACCCAAGCGCCCCTCAGGGCCTTTGCACATTCTGTTCTGCTGCTGCACTGCTTTTCCCCTCTCTACTCTCCTTCAGGTCTTTACACAAATGTCATCTTCTCAGAGAAACCTTTTCTACCATGTTATTTAAAATTACCACCCACTCCATCCTCATCTTACCATAATTCACTCTTTTCTCTGCTTTAAATTTAGGGGGTTTGTTTTGTTTTCTTTTGACAGGGAGGTCGTACATACATGTGTTACTGGGGCTCAAACCAAGCTACATATCCAAATTATATATAAAATGTTTTCGTCAGTTTCCGCCCACCAGAATGCAAGCCCCATGAAGTCATGAAGTCAAGGATTTTCTGTTTTGCTAAATGTGTGATTTGATGCTGAATAAATGATAAATGATAACAAACTTAAATATCAATCATTTATACCTGTGTCATTTTTAGAGTAACTGGAAGCTAGTATGCAGGGGCTAAAGAAGAGAAGAAAAAGTAATCCTTTCTCTGAAGGAATTTACTCTTTCAAGGCATAAAAGTGAACCTAACAGAGAAATAGCAATAATAGACAAATAAGATAACAAGTAAGGAACCAGAGAGAGATACTGTATTTGTCAGTAGGGAAAGAGGTAATTCAACTGTCCTTTGGCGTGACTAAACAAGACCACACACACACACACACACACACACACACACACACACACACAAATAAGGAAACCCATGATTATACTTCCCTGAATGTACCCATCTCATGTGACCCCGGAAGTTAAGCAGTGGTTGGGTCCGAATAATACTTAGTCACAGTGCAATAATGTTTACACCTAATTGATCATAACCATTTGTAGGTTTCTTTGGGCTGGAGACTTTACATAAGGCATAAAGTGTCTGGCAAGCGCAAAGCCTGAGTTTAAACCCCAATACATCCAAAAACTAAAAAAATAAGGGAACACAAGTTGTTCAAGGAAAAAGACTAGTCCAATATTCCTGGCTTAAGTTCCTTGTCCCTACCCCGACCCCCTGTGATTCCCCAACATTTGTATGAGAGACCACTAACCAATAATGTTAAAGAATTTTTTTTAGAATAAATAAAATTAGTAGTTTATTTATTTATTTGTTTTTAGTCCATGTTCATTGACTTTTTTTTTTCATTTATTCATATGTGCATACAATGTTTAGGCCATTTCCTCCCTACCCCCAATGTTAAAGAATTAGGTCATGAGCAGTTTTAATCTTGGCTAAAGAGCTTAAGCTTAACAGGCACCAGTGGCTCATGCCTGTACTCCTAGCTACTAAGGAGGCAGAGATCAGGAGGATCGCAGTTCGAAGCCAGCCCAGGCAAAAAGTTCTGTGAGACCCTATCTCGAAAAACCCTTCACAAAAACAGACCTGGTGGAGTGGTTCAAGGTGAAGGCCCTGAGTTCAAGCCCAAGTACCACACACACACACAAAAAAGAAACAAAGAGAGAGTTTAAGCTTAATGTAGTTGATAATAAGAAACTGGTGATGGCTGTGCTTTAGAAAAATTAATCTGAGAGAAATGGATAGGATGACAGTGAAGGCAGACATCTGCAGACCTGGCAGTAGGGAAGCCAGTTAGGAAGGTTTTACAACAATCTAAGCACAATGGCTGATAGGAGCATGAAAGTAAGGTGATCAGAAAGGAAAGAGGCAAAATTGGTCATAGTGGTACACATCTGAAAACCCAGCAGACCAGAGGCTTGAGGCAGGATTCTGAGTTCCACCCAGCTCAGGCTATGTAGTGAGACCCTGTCAAAACAAAACAAAGCTGGGAATATAGCTCAGTGGTTAAGTGTTTCCCTAGCATGCACAAGGCCCTGGGTTCCAGTCCCAGTACCATGGAAGGAAGGAAGAAAAAAGTTTTTTAAAAGTGAAAGTGTTCTAGGCCTTGTACTACAAAGAATATTTCAGAAGCAGTACTGTATTGTCTCAATACACTTACAATTAGATATAGCAATTATTCTTTAGAAAACTGAGTTAATTTATCCATTCATTTGCTCAAATAGGTTTTTGTTTTGTTTTGTTTTTGTTTGGTGCATGGAATCAAACCCAGGACTTTGCACAAGCTAGACATGCTTTACCACTAAGGTACAACCCAGTCCTCAATAAGTATTTCTTTTGTTGTTGTTGTTGTTATTTTGTAAGCGGTACAGGGGTTACTGGGGTTTGAACTCAGGGCTTCATGCTTGTAAGGCAGGTGCTCTACCACTTAAGCCATGCTGCCAGCCCCTTCAAAAAGTTTTGAGTGTGTGTGTGGTACTGGGGTTTGAACTGAGGACCTATACCTTGAACCACTCCACCAGCCCTTTTTTGTGTAGGGTTTTTTTGAGATAGGGTATTGTAAACTATTTGCCTGGGTTGGCTTCAAAATGAGATTTTCCTGATCTCTGCCTCCTGAGTAGCTAGAATTATAGTCAGGAGCCACTGGTGCCTGGCTTCAAAAGTACAGGCATTAGGCATCATCAGAGATACAACAGAGAATGCAAACTTGGTCCCTGCCCCCTACATTTTAGTGGGAAAGACAGGTCTTAATCAAGTAATTATAGAAATTCACCTAAATTGAAAGAAGAAGTACTTCTGAGAGAATGCTCAATGCATGATGATATAAGATCATAAACTAGCTGGGTGTGGTGTTACCAATAAGCTAGCCGAGATCCTTTCACTCTACACCGATGGAAATCAGCTGTAAGGGAGGAGTAGCTCTTCCAGCCTTGGTAATCCTGGGCTTTGAGTGCCAAAGGCTTGTGGGTTACCTGACAGACCCAGGAACTTATAGTCCAAACCCTGAAAAATGAGAGTTATGTCTCCAGGTGACAGAAGCCAAAGACTTCCAGCTGTATGTGCTCATTTTGGAGGCATACTGCTCTGAGTTCCAGAGGCAGTTGTGAAATCCTCTAAGCAGCAGCTTAGGGATCACAGCAGTTTGCAGCAGTCAGCACCAGCTGCTGTTACAGCTCCTGAACCTTAGGGATTGGGACCTGCAGACTTTATAGACGGCAACCTTGCAGCTCTCAAACCTCGGGTGTTGGGACCCTTGACCTTCAAGGCTTGACAGCTCCCAGGATCCATTCCAGTGAGAGGACTTTAGTCTCTGGATCACTACTTTCCACAGTTTTGGCTCTCCACCTGGTATCTCTGACTGACTTGAGTAATTTGAGCAGACTGATTGTGTAGAAAGGGGCAGGGGAGCAGAATTGTATGCAAAGGAAGAATTGTATTTGCACCAATCACAGAATCACAGTTCCACCAATCGATGTCTTCCTTTTTTTTTTTCCTAATCACAGCATTCTTGCTGAGTTATTAAGAAGGTGCTCCTTTCCCTTTTTATGATAGCATCAGGTTGCCCCTCCATCTTTTTTTTTTTTTTCCAGTAT